GTGGGAGCCCTTCCCACACTCCAAGCCTTCTCTGCCTGGAGCTCAGGGTGCCAACTCCCCCCACAGTTCCTCGTCCGCTGTCCTTCTGGGCCCTTCATTATCACCTCATTTTCTCAGAGCCCCTTCTAAAGTACGGGGCCCCACGGTATTCTAACTTGGTCTGACCCAAGGAGGACAGCAAGGAACAACCGCTGCTTTTGATCTCAGTGCCGTGGAGGATCACCTCGGCTTTCTTTGCAGCCGCGTCGTGCATCGGCTCACGTTCAGTTTGTTGTGCACCGAGATCCTTGGACCTTTTTTGACTTGGCCTTTTGCCAAGTACTTGCAGCCCCTCACATCCCATATTCAGGCCTTCGGTTTTTTTCCAATCCAAATGAAGGACTTTGCATTTTTCCCTGTTGAAATTCGTTTTGCTGGTTCTGCCTGTTCTTCCAGCTTGTCCAGAGCCTCCTAGCTCACATCCTCCCTCCCCCCATCTTTGTATCACCTGCAAACTCGGTCATCCTATTTTCTGACACCTCCCGATCGCTCACAAATGGCTTGGACGGCTTCCCGCACGGCCATTGCGCCCATCCACGCAGCCGCTTTGCCCGGCTTTCCTTCCACCCTGGAGCTGGTAGGAACCATGTTGCCCCACTGCATGTCCTCAGCGCACATCTGTTGATGGGTTTGAGCTGTGCGGCTCCCTTTGTAAGGGCAGCGGTGGGCCGTTTCCCCAGCTCAAACTCCCACCGGGCCCCACCAACCATAGGAAAAGTTGCCCCCGGTCCCCAGACCCAAAGTGTCCCAGGGCAGCGGTCCTTCTAGTCGCCCTTTTTCCTAAGTTTTGCCAAGGGGCTAAAGAGTTGGAGTTGTTGTCCTTGGTTACTAACTATCTCATGGTTGCCCAGAGGGAGCTGCAAGGTCAGAGTTCAAGAAGGGGGTCTGGGGGGCTTCGAGAGAGTGTTACTCTGAGGCAGCAAGCGCTCCAGGCTGGCAGGGTGACATTCCCTTTAAAATGCCGTGAGCGGCAGGACTGCGGAAGGCAGGCTTCCAGTCTCCCTTGCACCCGAAGCCGCTTTACGTAATCGGCGCAGAGCCTGGCAGCCTGACTGCAGGCTCTCCAGCCCAACAGGGGCTAGCGCCCCACTCTGGGCCACAGCAGCATCTGAGGGTTCCTCCTCCAGCTGCCCTGGATTGTCCACCGGGGGGTCTTGGGCTGGGATAAGAGGGGAAACACCACCCCCACCTCAGGACACCTGGAGTTGACTTTGGGCTTCCTCAGCAGCGGGCTGGCCGTGAGATGGAGGCAGGGTCACGAGGGCGTGTCCTGCAAACAGCGCTTTGGCAAGCAAGATGCACGCTGGCTAGGGACGGCGGCTCTCAGTCCAACTGAGGGGCGCTTAGTCCAGCCCACCTCTTCCCTTCCTCTCTCTCTGCGCCTCATGGGAGACTTTCTTGAAAGCTCTGCTGAAATCGAGGAATCTTGGGTCTGCTGCATTCCTTCGGTCCACTAAGCTGGTCTCTCGGGCAGAAAAGAAGATCGGGCTGGTTTAGCGTGAGTTGTCCTGCCCAGCAATACCTCTTTCTCTAAACGCTGAAACGGAGTTTTGCCTGGTATTGACATCACGCCAACCAGTCTGTGGTTACCCAGGTCTTTCTCTCCCCCTCCCCCCCCGGTTTTTGAAGATGGGGCAACGTTTGCCCTTCTTCAGTCCTCTGGCACTGAGCCCATCATCCCTGGTTTCTCCGTGGTGATGAAAGGGGCTCCAAGATGACATCCGCAAACCCCTTCAGGACTCTCGGCCGTAACCGACCCAGTCGTGGGGCGTCCGCTTAGTCAGGGCAGCCCGCTTCTCTTGGGTTGCCGCTCCGAGGTAGATAGCGCCAGTTCTGCCGCTTGGGCCCGTTCCATCGCAGTTCCTCTTTGTGGAGGAAACACCAGCTGAGTAGGCGCTGAGGAGCCCTCGCAGCGCGCCCACCCCGCCATCCCTTTGCGGCTGGCCTGGCCCAGCCCGAAGCCCTTTGGCTGCGTTCAGCTGCTACGGCGCCTAGAAGTTCTTCCGGCACTTCAGTCTTGCCGGCTTGATTTCTTCTGCAGACGTTGGCCGCTGGCTGGTCCGCCTCCTCGGTGGTTGCACCCTCTCCCGCTTCCTAACAGATGATAAAACCAGGGGTCCTCAGCTTTTGGAGCTGGCTGGAAAACAGCTGGCTGGAGGACTAGGGAGAGGAAGGGGCTTCTCCTTGGTTCCTGCCTCTTCCCCCAAATTCTGACAACGGGGTGGGGTGGGGTGTTTCAGACGCTGGCTTCCAAGCAGGACGCCAGCGGGGGCAGTGGCAAGCGAGCAGGGTGCGAGGCGAGCTGGGTGTTGGACAAGGGTAGCTGATGGAGCTTCGCTGGCTGGGTGTCCCAGGTTCTAATCTGTGTTACAAACGCAACCCCCACCCGACCTACAGGTGTCCCGCTGTTACTTTGAGGGCGGCTACCAGGACACCCACGTCTACCTGCTGGAGAACCTCTTCCATGGCCATTCCGTTCCTGGCCCCAGCATCCTGGTTGATAAGAACAGGTGAGTCACGGCCAGGCAGGTAAGAAGGGCTTGGGGGGGGGCAAGGCTTGCTGGAGCAGAAAGGAGAAGAGTATGTCAGACTGCAGGTGTTCCCGCTGTCAGCTTATTACCCCCCTGGTCCACAGGTGACGCTCTGCTCTCGCTGCTGGTGGCCTGGGGCACGGGGGTGGGTGGCCCCAGAGGAAATCGCTCACTGCATCTTTCACTCCCCCAGCACCATCCTGGTGGAGCCCGGCTGCACAGCGACCGTGACTTCTCTGGGGGATATTTGCATCACCGTGAGGTCCGGGACGTTCCACCCAATTGGACCGGAGGTTGACCCTGTCCAGCTTTCCATCTTCTCCCACCGCTTCATGAGCATCGCAGGTGAGCGCGGGGGCAGGAGCCGCCTCCTGGCAGGGGGGTGCCCAGGGCTCCTGAGGGAACAGCCTCTCTTCTCCCGAACAGAGCAGATGGGGCGTATCCTGCAGCGCACGGCCATCTCCACCAACATCAAGGAGAGGCTCGACTTTTCCTGCGCCCTCTTTGGGCCTGACGGGGGCCTGGTCTCCAACGCTCCCCATATCCCTGTCCATCTGGGTGCCATGCAGGAGACGGTGCAATTCCAGGTAAGCGGCACCAGGCAGCTCCTCTCTGGGGTGGCTCTGGGGCAAAGAGTTGGCCGTCCTGGGTCCTGGCAGAGGACCCTTCTGGGGCAGCTGACAGCCCCTGCAGCTCAGGTTGCCTGGGAGGCAAAGGGTCTGGCGGGATGTGCCCGGGGGGGGGGGGGGCGACCAGCGCCAGGGAAACAAGATGCAGGCTAATTTGTTAATGCAATGTAGGCGTGTAAAACAAGCATTGTACAAAAAGTCTGGAAGAAAGCGCTCTACTGCTAGCTTTTCTGTAGGTCGTCGTCATCGACTGATTTTATTTTTCTTAAAACCGAAAGTACAATTCAGACCAGAGGTATACGTGTGCAGAGGCACTTGCACACGCACGTGATGCATTTGGCTGGAGTAGAGATTGGGGCTCAGAACGCACCTGCAGGGGACCCCACAAAGGATCGTCCATGTTTTTTCGGGGGCGCACAGGCTGCTCCACCATTGCTTTATTGCCATCAAAACCGTTGTGCATCTTCTGCCTCACTCGTCATTTGAGCCGTTCGGTTTGACTGCAGTGTCTCTGCGTGCACAGCCGGGCATCTCTCTCCCCTTGCCTGTGCCATGCTCATTCTGTAGCTTCTGTTTTTCACGTCTTCCACCAAGCATCCTTTTCTGTGCTTCCCCCCGCATAACTCCGCTCTCTTCTGCAGTGCTTAAAAGAGGACGCCGTTCTCTTCCTTTGTGGATCTCCAAGGGGTCTTCTCTTGCCTCATTTCCACCCCTCGTTCGTGTCACCTGCCAGAATAGGTCTCCTCGGGTTGTTAGTCCCCCGAGCGCCACGATCTGCCCTTCCCTGGCTCCAGCAGATGGGAGAGCCCAGTTCCTTTGTCTGTTGGGGACCATGGGCTTGGAGATGGGGGAGAGGTGCTGGAGGTCTGGGCTTTGGGGGAGCTGTGGGGTGAGGGGAGTGTCCCCCAGAGTGAGGGGGTGCACCACCTCTGTACCCAGACCTCAGTGGGGACTGCAGCTGCTAGTGAGGCTTTCCTTCCACCCACCCCCCTTCCCATTTTGCTGCTGCCATTGCAGATCCAAAACCTGGCCTCTGAGCTTCGTGAAGGGGATGTGATCCTGAGCAACCACCCGTGTGCAGGGGGCAGCCACCTTCCTGACCTGACAGTCATCACCCCAGTGAGTTGGCCTCCCACTTCCAGAGGGGGAAAGGGGCAGCTGGGGGCACTGGTCTCTGGGCAGAGCTTTCCCTGGGACTTGCCCTGCAGAAGTGGATCGTTCGGCGGCTCGTGGAGGGGCGGGGGGTGCCCCTGCAGACTTAAGGCTGGGAAGCCACCCCTGTCTGTGTCCCAGCCCCCCCCCTGCCCCTTTGTTGAATGGCCCCTCGTTGCAGGTGTTCTGGAAGAAGGAGGCCAAGCCGGTCTTCTTCGTGGCAAGCCGGGGCCACCATGCCGACATTGGAGGGATCACGCCAGGCTCTATGCCCCCCCACTCCCACTCCCTTCAGGAGGAGGGGGCCATCTTCATCTCCTTCAAGCTGGTGAAAGACGGCATCTTCCAAGAGGAAGGTTGGTCTTGGTGGGGCCTGGGCTGGCTTGGGGAGGGGAGGGGAGGAGAGGGCTTGCTTCTCCAGGCCGGGGGGCCTGCGCCCGCCGCTCCAGAGCCACCTCTCTTGCAGCCCTGACCGAGGCCCTGCTGGCTCCTGGCCGCCTCCCTGGCAGCAGCGGCACACGCAACCTCCAAGATAACCTGTCTGACCTGCGTGCCCAGGTGGCAGCCAATCAGAAGGGGATCCATTTGGTGAACGAGCTGATTGGGCAGTATGGATTGGGAGTGGTGCAGGCATACATGGGCCACATTCAGGTGAGGAAGGGGGTTTCTGGGCTGGGAGCAAATCTCACTGCCCCCGGCCTGACACGAGGAGGGTCCTCAGGAGTTGCCTCCCGCTGGGAGGCCTTTCAGACAGCCGACAGAAGGCCGGCCCCATTGCGCTGCCAGAGGAGCGCCAAGAGCAGACGTGCGGTTGGACAGCCCCTTTTAATTGATCCGATATGGTCAGGAGCAGCATCTCCCGCTACTCACTGGAAGGGGAGAAGTCAGGGAACGAGCTCCTCCCATGTGTGTTGCAGGCAGGTTGAGCGGGCGTTGGAAAGCAGTGGAGGCAGCAGCGCCCCTCGTGTTCCCCAGCGCCAGTTCTGGGAGGCTGAGCCAGGCAGCCACGTGGCTCTCTCTGAAGACCCGCAAACTGAATGCCGGTGCCTCAAGGGGGGAGGCAGCAGCGTTGGGGCCCTCCATCCGGCAGGACAGGGAGGGCTGTGCTACTCACCAGTCCGCCGCCATTTCCACTTCTCTCCGGCTTTGCCCCCAGGCCAACGCAGAGGTTGCCGTCCGGGCGATGCTGAGGAACTTTGCTGCACGCCAGGGATCGCCGGAATTCCCCCTGCAGGTGGAGGCCAAGGACTTCATGGATGACGGCACCCCGATTTGCCTCAGGGTGACTGTGGATCCGCAGGAGGTGAGCGCCCAGTTGGGTCCTAGAATCCTGGAGCTGGAGGGGCCTTGGTGGCCATCCGGCCCAGCCGCCCGCCCAGTGCAGGAATGGAAGGAACTGAGCAGAGCACCCAAACTGGGCACCCGGGCAGCACAACCGCTGCTGCTGTCCAGCATGAGGAGGGGGGCAGGGCGGGTGCGGCTTCCTTCTCTGCTGCACAAACACAGCGTGGTGGGGGGCGGCGGGGGAGAGCGGATCGCTCAGAGGAGGATTGTGAGCCGGCAGTGAACCTGGATGCCGTGTGCGAGGGCTAAGAGTGCCTCTGCCCCCCAGGGCCGCGCGGTGTTCGACTTCACGGGGACTGGCCACGAGGTGTACGGGAACTGGAACGCCCCCCGAGCCATCACCCTCTCCGCCCTGATCTACTGCTTGCGCTGCATGGTGGGGGAGGACATCCCCCTCAATCAGGTACAGAGGACGGGCAGCCGGGGGCCAGCTGGCCGGCCTGCCTGCTGCTCCCTCTCGGCCTCGGAAGGGCTGGTCCTGGTGGGCTGTCCGGATCAGGACGGGCCTGAAGCGTTCCCCCCTGTTCCCCTGCAGGGCTGCCTGTCCCCCGTGCGCATTGTTGTCCCCGAGAGATCCATCCTTGACCCATCCCTGGATGCTGCCGTGGTGGGGGGCAACGTGCTGACCTCCCAGAGGGTCGTGGATGTCATCTTCCGAGCGTTTGAAGCCTGTGCTGCCTCTCAGGTGGGGGGGGCACAGAAAGGCCAGGCCGTGGGCCTCAGACCCTTGGCTGGGTCCCCTCAGCTCGCTCAGTCAGGGCACTGGGGGCTTAATCGCTACCTTTGCACGCGCGCAAGCTTGGCCAGGAGCCTGGGGTGGCTTCTAGGAGGGTGACTGAAAGGGGACGTGCGCAGAGCCCCGACTCCTGATTCTGCTCAACCTGCAAGAAGAGGACAGTCATCTTCAGAGACCCCCAGGCGTGTTTCCCACCAGCCCCGGAGACCAGGAGTCCCCTGCCCCCAAAGTAGGGCCTCCCCTCTCCACCGTGGAGGGACCTCCTGTGGGGGGCCCTCAGCAGCTGGCTGGAGAAGCCACACTCTGACCCTTGGCCTTCCTCCAGGGCTGCATGAACAACGTCACGTTTGGGAACGAGCACGTTGGCTACTACGAGACGGTGGCTGGAGGGGCTGGGGCAGGGCCTCACTGGCATGGCCGCAGTGGGGTGCAAAGCCACATGACCAACACCCGCATCACTGATCCTGAGATCCTGGAAAAGCGGTGGGTGCAGGTGGAACCCGAAGGGGAGAGCTGTTGGCGGGTGGTCCTGGACAAGCACAGGGCAAGGGATATGGGGATGAGTGGGGGTCTGCCCTGGCAAGCTGGCTCACTCGGGGCGCTCTTTTTCCTAGACCCCTGCTGTCCCCCTTGAGTTCCTCCAGTTCTGAGCTTTCACCCCGAGACAGGCAGCTGGGGGTGGGTCCCGGCTGTGCAAACACTTAGCCTGTTGCGCAGGAGAAGTGGCAGTGGGAGTTTGGCGCCGGGATCACAGACTCCGCTCTCTCCATCCTCCCTCCCCAGGTATCCAGTGGTCTTGCAAACTTTCCAGCTGGCACCAAATACAGGGGGGGCTGGGCAGTTCCGAGGAGGGGACGGGATCCGGCGAGAGTTCCAGTTCCGTGAGGAGATGGTCCTGTCTGTGCTGAGCGAGCGACGAGCTTTCCAGCCGTATGGGCTGCGAGGTGAGAGCTTCTGTGCTCGCTGGGTGTAGCAGGAGGTCACAGCATGGCAGTGGGGCTCTCTTGCTGCCTCTCTGGACTGGCTGCGAGCAGAGGGGGGTCGCTGCAGTAGTGGGGCGAACATAGGATTGCAGGATCACAGTGTTAAAAGGGACCTGACAGGTCCTTCCCCACGTGGTGGAGCACCCCCCAGAGCATCTCCAGCGGTTGTCCATCCAGCCTCTGTTTGAAGTTCTCAAGACTCGGTGGTCTCCAGGGGTTGTTCCAACACTGAGGTTCTGTGAGTCCACTGGAAGGACGGGTCGTGCAGTTGCACAGCCGTGAGGAGGGAAGGTTCACATCTGCGAGGCCAGATGCGTCCCACTCTGGGCTTAGGTCTTCTCCAGCGTCTCCTCTGACACCAGGTTGGTCTCAGCTCCTCTCCCTTCCTGACAGGCGGTGATCCTGGCTCCCCAGGCCTGAACTTGCTGATCCAGCGCAATGGACGGACCATGAATCTGGGTGCAAAGATGTCGGTGAAAGTACACCCTGGGGTAAGAAGTCCTTAAGCATCTGCCTGCCCACGTATATACCCCCACCCTGCTCCACCCCGCGTTGCTCCTTCCAATGGAAGCCGCCTTCTCCATAGTCTCTCTTGTTTCCTTGTCCGTAGGATGTCTTCTGCCTGCAGACCCCAGGCGGAGGGGGCTTCGGACAGCGCCCCGAATCCTCGCACTTGACCAAAGGGTCTCAAGGTTCCTGGGACCGGGTCCAACTCTTCAGGGACTGAAGCAGTTTCTGTCACTACCGCCTGGGAAAGCAGATGACAGATGGCCCCCTGCGCCCCAGGCCAGGAGGGGGTTGGGGGGGCAGGGGACGTGCACTGGCTGAGTAGGTGGATCTCCTTACCAGGAGGAAGAGTTTGTGAGGCTGGGCGGGGAACGAAAGGTACTGGGAGCAAGCTTTGCCTCTTGCCACAAGGGGGCAGCAGAGACCAACGGCTTTCTCCCTTCCTGCGGGGTGAAGCAGAGGCCCCCTCCCTCCCACCCACCCACTTGGGAAGGCAACCCCTAGATGCTGTTCCCTCCTAGTGGGCCCTGCCCCTGCCCACCCGCCTGCCCCTCTTCTGCCTGCACTCCGCAGCCCAGTGGCCCAGAGAGGCTGCTTGGCTCCTGTTCTCAGCTGGTACAGGCACCACTTGCTGCCCCCCTCCCCCACTAGGGGGGCAGATATGTGGCACACAGGCAACGCAAGCAATGGCTGGCACCGCCAGTCTCTTCCTGGAAGGAAAGGGCTGGGCAAATGCCCGGCTTGGTTTCACACGAATAAAGCTAGAATCTGCTTGGAGTCTCTGAAGTCATTTCTGTCCCAGCAGACACCCCCCTCTCCGGCCGGTGTGCCTGGGGGCTCTGTAACTACAAAGAGGTCTTTTGCTGCAGGATGCTGGCAACCTGAAGGGTCTGACTCTTGCCCATTCTGCGCGAGAGGGCCCCCCATGAGTACTGGCCCAGAAGCCCCTCCCTGGGAAGGGTCTGGGTGGTCTTTCAGGGCCCCTTCAGCCCCCCACCCATCCATCCGAGGCAGATGGGGAGGGCAGAGGCCGGAGGCCCACCCCCCAAGGCAACACTCCCGGCAATGTTTGCCCATCGGAGGAACCCTTAATACAGACCCGGCTGCAGGATTTGCCTAGTTTTTCTGCACGTGGTGGACTTTCGTGCGACTTGAGCACGATGGAGGTGGAGTGCCATTGCTTGTCTGGGTCTCGGCCAGCAAGTAGGCAAGCAGGACGCTTGCCGCTCCCTCAGCAGGAAGCCCAGCGGGTCCTGGGCTCCGGCGGTGCCTTCTCTGGCCAGCTAGTTCTCACCCTGCGTGAGACATAAGGAGCTGGCAAATCCTGGTGGCCAGAAGAGCCGCCGTCTTCAGGTGACCACTTGCGCCAGGAGAGGTTGGGCAGGCCTCACGTTAACCGCTTGTGGGTGGGATTGGTCGGGACAGTGACACAGCCATGGTGCAAAATTAAAACAACAAACAGCCACGAGAGCCCATCTACAAAGAATTCCCTTTTAGCAGGCTGGCGGGGTGGGGGGTGAGGGGCGGCCATTGAACCTCTGGGGGAAGGCCATCCCCAGCCCACTGAGAGACAGCGTTACCAAAGTTGAAACCGGCAGCAGTTTCTCCTGGCACCTTAGGTTTTGTAGGCCAAACCTGCACGGAGTTGCCCTCAGAAGCTGACGGGGAGCCACGCGGGGCCTGAAGCATGATGTGAAGTGCTCTAAAGTTGCAGCTTCCAAGCCGTCTTCAGAGGCAGCCCCACAGAGAGTGCCCTGCAGTAGTCCGAGCAGGGGGAGACAGTATGCGAGCTGCTATTTGCTCCAGGCAGGGTGGCTGCCGGGCAAAGGCTCCCCTGGCCGTGGCCCCCGCCCACGTGCCCTTTCAGCAGGAACTGCGAGTCCAGGAAGATGGCAAGCCGGGCATAGGCCACCAGCACGGAATGCCACTTGCCCGGTTCAGCTTCAGCCTGTTTCACCCCATGTAGACTCTGGCAGCGTCCAGATACTGTGGCAAGACTTGGACGGCGTCTCTGTGCTCCAGCGTGGCAACGGCTACCTCCCGCCAGCAGTTCGCGTCCCCCAGCAGATTCCAGTGAACGCTCGACCCTGCAGCACTTCTCTGCAGGGGTAACCATCAGGCTGACCTCTCCCCTTGCCACAGCTGGGACTGACCGCTCAGGAAAGCTGAGCCGCTGTTGCAAAGGCCTCCAGTCTCTCGCTCTCACGCTCGCTCGCTCTCTCTCTCTCACACACACACACACACATACAGCCCAGAAGCTCACCTTGGTCAAGTCTGCAAAAGGCTTCTGAGAGCAGCTGGCCGCCCCTGCCCAGGCCCCCGGGTCTCCACACGCCCAGTCCCAAGCCCTGGGTCGGCGCCACCACCCTCGCCTTGAGATGGCACTTGGGTGTCCCGAGGTTCCTGACTGGAACTCAGATTTCCAAAGAACACCGCCCAAGGTTGGGAGCCTTTTTGCTTGCTGGTTATACTGTGTTACGCCTTGATGAGTAAAAATATAATACCAAGATCAGTAATAAAAAAAATAATAAAATTGAATGACAGCGTATCACGGGCCGCGTCCACAAAGTGATGTTGACTGACCGCACTTACGTGCGGAAAGGAAGGCCGGGCCCTGCAGCAGGTGAGACAGACGGTGGAAGAAGAAACGTGTGAATTAAATTACATCGACCAAGCAAAGGAAAAATGCTCACTGTAGTTTGCGGAAACAAAAAAGCCCGAAAGTTACAGAAACAAAAAATGACTATAAAAGTGAATTATTGGAAAACCATTTAGAACACGGAGAAGTAAACTCTTCCACAGCCAACACATAAAAGAAGCTGAGCATTAATTGGACAAGGAATTGGGAATAGTTTGTAGGCAGGCACCACTTAAAGGGAAACAGAAGGGTTAATTTTTGCATCTCAAGAACAAGGGCTACAAACTAAAGCAGGGAAATCAAGGTTTCATCAGGTTACGAACAGCAGCAAACCTAGACTTTGTAAAATAAAGAGATGAAACTGCAGGTCACGTAATTGGCGAATGCAACAAAATTGCTCATTGTAATGGCAGATTGCCACTAACACCCCTGCAAAAATCAGAGTGTCCCAAGCAGCAGCAGCATAAAATTGAAAAAGCCCCTGAAAATGAGGAGGCTAACGTATGGGATTTCTGCATTCGTACCTAGAACACAACACCCCAAATAAATAAAAAGTCGCCTCTTCCATGGAGGGGAATCCGAATAAGGAACCCTGGAATCAGTTGGCGGTGCCCAGGGGCAGCAGATTGGAGGAAAAAGAATGGGAAAAATTGCAAGCATAGAGAACTAACAGAATGGATAGATTATGGAGATCTTGCCAAATCATCCCTACAATTACTGGCCCTTTAGGCAGAATAACAGACAAACAAATGTTTACAAGGCATTTTGGTCATTTCAACTGTGGATTTGCAGAAACACTCTTATCTTGCTGGGCACCTGTTACCCCTGTAGACGTTAACTGTGCTTAAATAACGCCTAAGCTCCTGTCTGGAATTTACATTTCCTGGGAACAGTCAAAGGTGTTGATGTAACGGTGACTTTAGGGTTAGTCTGAAGAAGGTGGCATAAAAGTGCATGGCCCAGAACTGACCTTCCCAGCTGATGGGAACAGAGCAGATAATTTGGTTGCAAACCCGTCCAAATTATTTTCTGCTTCCTATCAGTGAGGGCTGAGGAGGTCCGGTACAGTGATGCCTCCCCACAGGAAGAACCAGCAGCGCTCCCCTGCGCTAAGGAGCAGAAGGATAAGAAACCACTGTGCTCCTATTTCCCTTAGCAACCACAGGCGCCCACCTTGGGTAGTGGTGCCCACCTTTGGGGGGTGTTTTGTCCACCCAAGGGTGTGAATAATTATTGTCCGCCAATGATCATGTAGTTCTTTGTTTTAGAAGTGTATGAAAGATGTGTTGATTTGCAAGTTGGGGCATTTGCCTTGAAAAGTCAATTTGTAGGTGCCCTTCACCCTGCAGAATAAAGTTATCAAAGAGATTTCTGCCTTGCGTGTTAATTGGGCATCGCACGCCAGATCAGCGAACCCAGAGGTTCCCTGGGACAACAGCGTGATTGCTTTATTTGGTTCCCAATCCCTGATTATTAGAAACAGTAACAGCAACATGTCACCACGTTCCTGTGGGGCACTAGGACAAAAAAGAATGGGGACAGCTGGCACTTTTGAGACATTGAGGTCAGCCCAGCCACAGACAAGAGGGCGGCTTTGGCTGTGGCCCCGATTTAGTGGGCTTGAGACTGGGGCGCTGACAACAGTGCAACAGTGATTGTGCAGCCAGAAAAGGTCTCCCCTGAGTCAGACTTGATTCCTGGTGGCCGAATGGCCCGCGGTGCCTGCGGCTGCCACACAGAAGCAGCTTGATGCTGCTTCCTTCTCAGAGCTTGTCTGTCTTCCCAGCCCAATTTGCAGTCCTGGATTTTCCCAGGCTTCCCTGGGCCAAACCCTGCTGAGCTTCCAAGCTCAGCCAGGGGCTGCTGCGCGCTGAGTAGTGACCCGTCCCCTTGCAGCAAGCTGAATACTCAGCCGGGTACGACTGCCCGAGCCGGGCCGGGCTGGGCCGAGCCAGGCTATGGCTGCCGGAACGGGAGTGCGCTGTCATCCCCAGACCCAGGAGTGAGGGTCCCACCTGGGGCCTGGGGCCGCGTTCCAGGAGGCATCCGGAGCAACAGACTGATTCAGAGAAGGCCCCAAGGGGACCGGGGCTGGGCCGGCGGAGCCTGCAGAAGAGCCAGCTGAGGGGACCCCCTTCTGATGCCCGAAAATCAGGGCTTGCTCGGGGCCTGGAAAAATGGGCGGCAGTGGGAGCCCGGCAACAGGCCTTGGGTTGCCTGCCAGGCGTTCTTGTCAGGATTTTCTTTCTCATGGGAAAGGATTCATCCCGTTCTCTTTGCAACAATAACAGATAATATTTTGGCTACAGAGATCATGTGAGAAACACCTGTTATTGTGTGTTGTGTATTGTG